AAAATTCGTTTCATACATCAAAGAATTAAAAAATGAAACTTATATATTTTGAATTTTTTTTTATTTTATATTACAATAAATAATGATAAATAAAATGTAATAAAAACATAATACTTAAATTCCTTAAAAAAATGTAATATAACTAATTTATTTTCCTCATAATATTTTTTTTGGGGGGGAGAGGGGTTGTCCTTTTAACCTCCCCCCCTGGATACACCACTCAACCACTGCTTGTATCCAAATATTAGATATTATTCAAAATATCATTCACATTCACAAGGTCAGATTAAGGGGGGTGGGGGGTCTAGCTGGGGCCTCTCAAGTACCAAAATGAAAAGGGCCCAAACAATTTTAAGCTGCTACACATTTTTAAGTGATTTTTTAAAGAAAAGTTTTTCTATATTTTAAAAACTATTTTTTTTATTGACAAAAACAACTAAATAGTAATTACCTACAAAAGCACTATGTGGTAGAAAAGAGGCATTTTACTGTTATTTAATATTTTCATTGATATCAATAATATCATCAATAGTTAAAAATGTTATTTATGTATGGAGAGAGCTTTTTCTACATTAACTAGAGTAATAAATAAGTATTTACCCAGTCATACCCAAAAAGACTTGGACATACAAATGATTTGTTAAAGTCATTAGACTTAAATGAAGTACTAAGAGCTGAGTTGGCTTCAAGTAAAGCAAGAAAAAAAATGTATTTGACAAAATGGTTTCTGTTTGATATTAAATATCAAATATCATTAAATATAATTTGTTTTAAATGAGTATACTGTTAATAAATTTAAAAGTTATTATGAAAATTTGAATTTAAATTAATGAAATATGAAGTATTAACTTTTATTATATACTACAATAAAATGAGTAGCTTTATAGACATAAATTACATTTACCTATCAATTTTATAATTTTATAATGCAATTGCCAATTTGTGAAATAGTTAGAAAAATGTATGTTCCTGCGAGAGTCTTTGTAAAGCATGTTATGTCAAAAGGGCTTATATGAAATTTCAGCCCCGGGGCCATTATTAGGTTCTTAATCCGGCCTTGCACATTCATATAATTAAATTATATGCGTAGGTAGGTACTAGGTTCTATAATAGGTAAATAAAATAATTTTTATTATGGAAAATAGACATTTATAATGATGTGGGGGGGGGGAGAGGGGAACAATAGAATTTGGCAGGAAAATATTTCGGGGTTGTTGTTTTTACTAATTAATATTTTAATGAAAATGATCGACCGAAATCATTGTACTTTTTATGAAAATTGTACCGACTTGTATTTATAATAATTTATAATTGTCTGAATCAATTAGGTATGTACCTAATAAATAAAATAAAAGGTGGGTAAGTGGATTTCACTCTGCTGTACAGTAGGTTACAAGTGGCCAGTGGGTCACTGTATAATGGATGATACTAAAATATTTGATGATATACATACGTAAAAATCCATGGCCATATCTGAAGGGGTGTTAACCTAACCCCCCAGAAATTTCTTCAGTATGTCTTATTTTTAACCAAATATCAAAACCTAAATTCAATAAAATTAAAATATACATGTTTTGGACCCCCCCCCCCAACTCACAACAAAATATGTCTACGAAAAACGATTATGAGCGGAGAAGGTTTGTCAGTGTGGTTATTTTATACCTATTATATTTATATTTTTATTAAGTACTTATTATTAATACTAAATACGGTAGCCGATAAGTTGAATTAATATTATAAAATTACAATAAAATAACTAAAATCTTTATTCTTGGTTATTTAATAATATGCAATATCCTCCACATTTGAACATAAAATATTAAATAACTAAAAAACTGTGTTTTTTATATTTTTGAGATGTTTTGGTTACAGGATACTTAACCTACTTACGTAGTTCCTTTTACCTTGTAAGTGTTCAATCCTTAACTATAAAAGTTGATAAACTTATTACATTTTTAACTACAAAATCATTTTAAAATTTAAAATTTGATAAATGTCAAAAATTTAACTTTAAATGTTTATAAAAAAAAATTGTGTGTATGTATTTTTAATATTTTTCGACTACTATTGTAACAAAATATCATGAGCTTTGCATTGATTTTTTACACTTCTTGAACTAACAAATAAAATATTTTTGCCATTTATAGAAAAAAAAAGGTGGGTAAGTGGATGTCGCTCTGCTGTACAGTAGGTTACAAGTGGGTCACTGTATAATTGATGCTATTAAATTTGAATTCAATGATACAATATCATTGTATAAGAAAAACGATTCTGAGCGAAGACGGTATGTCAGTCTAGGTTAAGACAAATTATATACATATCTATGGTATTAAAAAAAAATTGACCTATAATAAATTCCAAATTAATCATATCACAATATCCATTAGGTACTTATAACACGTTATACACCAACAACAAACCCTGATACTATCATATATATATAATAGTACACTTTAGAAGTTTCAAGTAGGTACCCACGAATAATATTATATAATCACAACAAAATAACTAGGTTTTTTAATATGTAATTTCGTCAAAATTTGAACATAAAATGACTATAAAAATAAACTGTGATTGTATATTTTTTAGATTTTTCGGTAAGAGAATTAACTACTTACGTGAAATCTTGTTTTAAATTTTCAATCCTTAGCTATAAAAACTGAACATTTTATAATTTATTAATTACGATGATTAATAATTTTCGAGATTTTGAAAAATTCTGTCAAAATTCGATGTTAAAATGCTTATAAAAAAAAATTGTGCCTATGTATTTTTAATATTTTTCAACTGATATTGTAACAATATATCAGGAGCCTTGTATTAAATTTTTACACTTTTTGGCCCAACAGATAAAACTTAATTAATATTTATAGAAAAAAAAACTAAAAAAATTGAAAACTGAAAATGTCCGTAAACGGCTCAAAAAGAGTCAAAATATTTTCAAAATTGTATGGTGTATAGGAAATGCTAATATAAACATTCAGTGAAATTTTCATGTATCTACAGTAATTCGTTTTTTAATTACAACAAAAAAAGGAAATTGCCACATGAGAAATCGAGTGAATATCCAATGTTGTAAAAATTTGAATTTCAAACGCTCATAAAAATTTAATTTGACTTTCCGGTAGAGATTTTTTTATTGATAAAGGTAGACAATCTTATGAGTAATCTTGTATTAGATTTTCAAATCTTAGATTTAAAAAGAAAAATTTTTACGAATTCTTAACTCAAAATAATTTGCTAATTTTCGTGATTTTTCCATATTTTGTCAATTTTTGAACTTTAAATGCTTATAAAAAAAAATTGTGACTAAGGATTTTTAATATTTTTCATCTGCCCTTGAAACAATATATTAGGAGCCTTCTATTAAATTTTCAAGCTTTCGCAACCAACAAATAAAATTTTATTGATATTTCTAGAAAAAAAACTAAAAAAAAACTAAAAATGAAAATGTCCCTAAACTGTTCAAAATAAATCAAAATATTTTGAAAATGTTATCGTGTATAGAAGATGCAAATATAAACAACCAGTGAAAATTGCATGTACCTACGGTCATTTGTTTTAAAGTTACACCAAAAACCAAATTCAATTTTCTGAAAAATCGATTTTGCGTAAAAATTCCCGTTTTTCCTTAATTTTTCTTTTGTTTTTCCCGGCGCTCTTGAAAACTACTGGGAAATTTAAATTTTGACCTCCCCAATGCACCAACGATATTCACTTTCCAATCGAACAAGATACTGAAGTCGAAAATCGAAGCATTATTTCGACTACTTATCGTGTACACAGACACAAAAAAAATAAAAAATAAAATAAAAAATAAAATAAAAAAAAAAATAAAAAAATAAAAAAAAAAATAAAAAAAAAAACACACATCATTGTAAAATCAATACATTCATCGTTTCACTCAGAATCTAAAAAAACACACATCATTGTAAAATCAATACATTCATCGTTTCACTCAGAATCTAAAAAACTAAACAAATTTAAAACTGAAAATATCCGCCAGCAGCTCAAAACTAGTCAAAATATTTTGAAAATGTTATCAAGTATAAGAATTGATAAAAAAAAAAAACATAAGATGTAAGTGTCTACGGTTATCGGTTATTCGTTTTTGAATTATAACAAAATAAGAAAATTGCTACAATGCTACATGAGAAATCGAATAAATATCCAATGTTGTAAAAATTTGAACTTCAAACTAAAAATTTAATTTGACTTTCTTATAGACATTTTTTTTTGATAAAGGTAGATAATCTTATAAGGAATCTTGTATTAAAATCTTAGATTTAAAAAGAAAAAATTTTATAATTTAGAAATTTAATTTAAATGCTTATAAAAACTGTGACTATGGTTTTTTAATATTTTTCATCTATCTTTGAAACAATATATTAGGAGCCTAAGACCTAAGTTAAACTTAGCAGATAGCAAAGTTGTACTAGTGAACAAGGTAGGTACGACCCAACATTAGGGGTTCACTGGCTACAGTTCACCGATAAGTGATAATGTAAGATTGTAAGAACTAAAAATACCTACCTATGTAAGTATAAAGTATGTAATTATCATTATGTACCTTAGTACCTTGTACCTAAGCTATTAATTCAATATTGTAGGAACTAGGAACTAGGAAAACATGTAAAATTGTGAAACGTCAAAGCCGTGTAAAATAATGCGTGTCAATTCCACTCGGCGATGGTAGCGACATCTGGCTGTGTGGCTAGCGACTGCATCGAGAATGTCAATATGTCCTCCGGTAGAATGAGATTAGGCCGCACGCGTTGTTATCGCACTTTGGCTGCAGTAGTGCAGTGTTAACCGCACAGAATCCGCGTAAAGTTCACCGTCGTTAATCTTCCGTGTCTTCTTCGCAGTTCACATAGAAATTTTCTAATTTTTCATGGTCACCTCGAAGTTATGCGGCGCGCGCGTCGACCCGAACCGTTCGTGTTAGCCGTCTGTGGTCGCCGTCCGGGCTGCAGTGTTGTACGTGTTGACGCTGTCCAATGACCACCAAAAACGGTAGCAACATCGTAGTCGAGTGGCTTCGGTCCCTGCACCTGGGCCAGTACGCCGATTCGTTCTTGGACAACGGGTATGACGACCTGGAAATCTGCAAGCAGGTTGGCGATCCCGATATGGACGCCATCGGCGTGTTCAATCCATCGCACCGCAACCGGCTGCTGCAGTCTGTTCGCACGCTGCGTGAAGAGGGCGCAGCTAGTGTTTATTTCACTCTTGAAGAGTCCGCCGCTATACAGGAGGAATGCAAGTACTCCACCACCAAAGAGCAATGCGCTCCCAGCCCTGGCCACTCGTCGGGCAGTAGTACGCAAGAGCTTCAGCAGGTACATTATGATGAGTACGAGGAAGGAAAGGCTGAACTAGTCAGGATACCTAAACTTCAGTTGAAGCTGTTGCTTAAAGACAAATTATTACAAGACGGCATTCGACTCAGCTCTCAACCATACACCACTCAGGTAGGTGTCACCTATTATATTATATCGGCCTACCTATCTGCCTAATTAGGTTATATATTTTGTCATATGTCACCTGTACATTATTGATCGATAGATAGAATCCAGTATGTAGATTGATTGAAATCCTTCTCAAGTTATTATAATACAGTCAGTGTTTAATATACACCTCTAATTGTCATATAGACTAAAGAGTATGTCCAGTTAGCATAGTTATAGGAAATTGTTTATCTGGTCCAATACTGTCTGTGTTATGGGCATATTATAACATATTTTGTTACACAACATTTTTATAAAATACCCAAGATTTCATTTTCTAAAAATGAATTGTATTTTATAAGGATCTTGTAGTTTTTTGGATAGGCAATCTCGATAATGAACTATTGAAAAAATGATTTTACATTGTGTCTTCATTTTAAAGTCTGAACTGAATGAGAATAATTATATACCTATTTTATAGTGTAGGACATAGGTACCTATTACCATTAAGCAATGGCAGACATCTGCCTCAATATTCTACATATTTTATCCTTCCAGTAACAAAACCTTTAACAATGCAGGCTAAATCATTTGATTTCCTTATTATATTTTTTATATTACCTATCTATTAATTTTAGTCTGTACCAGTCTTAAAAAAAAAAAATGTGTAGGTATTGTGCTTTTGATACGTTTATGATATATTTTCCTTTAAATGACACAAATATTTAGATGTTATTTTACTATAGAAATGTTCATAAATGGCTTACACAATTTGTGATTTTGCAATCTACATTTTATTTAGAAACATGCAGAAAATAAAAATATAATTTTTCGATTTTAGAAAACTTCTATAAATTTATGTTTATAATAAAAGCTTAAAATATTTTGGTACTAACACAAAGTGAAAAAAGCGAAATCATTTAGGTACTACTTAAAAACATATTCTGAACTACTCCTCCCACTGCTTTCATATAATATGATATTGCACTTGTAAGATATCAATTTAAAAACAAATTTAAAATTGGAAGTCTAGATAAAAATAAAAATTTTGTTTTTATATTGCTGCTCTGAATCTAGGATCCTGTGATAATTAAAAAATATAAGTACTTAACTCTATTACCGTCTATTACCATTATATTATTTATACTAGGTAGGGGCTAAGGTTCCTACTTTGTTTTATAAACAGCTTAACGTATAATGTAATATTGTAATGTTTAATTAGTTTTTTATATTTTTTATGATAGGATTTTTTCTAAAAGGTACCGTTAAATGTTTACTAAAATTCATAAATTCTGTCTAAGAGTTAAAGTAAATAATATAAGTAATTATAGAAAACTCAAAATAGTATTTCTCGTGAAAACATTATAATGCCAATTGCCTAGGTATAATTCTTAAATATACCGAATTTAATATTAAGGATTTAAAATCATTTATATATTTTTGTCTGTTTAAAATATTTAATTTATATTACACAAATAGCTAATTGATTTGTTATCTTTAAGTGTAGTTAAAGAAGATATTATAAAAACAATTTACAATAACTTTAACTCGTTATGTAAGTACCTATTTATTTGCAAGTAATTAACATAAAATATGATTTAAAAATCAATAATATCTAATTCTCTATTTTTCAAAACTCAGTTTGTATTTATTGAACCAGTTCGAACTAATTTAAAGTATATACAAATACTTGAAATGTATTGTATGGAAACACCGATTAATAATATGTTAAAATAAAATATTACCTAATACATTTTTATTATACTTATAACTACTATAATCGCATTCGGCTATTCGAGTACACCCTTCACTAAATAATTTTTATGATTTCTAAATACGATAGTTCAACTTTAAAATTGTATTCTGGATAAAATGTATTTGCTAGTATAGAAAATATGTGCACCTAGATATTTTATTCTTCTTGAGAACTACATTATTATATTATAGGACTAGAAGGTTTTTTAGTTTATTATCATATTTTTTTACGTAGCGTAAAAATATAAAATACATTTCTAGTACCTAAACATAAATAATCGAAACTGAAGTTTATTAATTTAATAAATTATCATTCTAAGTTTAATGAATACAACCGTTTTCTTGGTTTCTATTGTTTGTTCATTTTGTTCAGACATTTAGTATGTACCTATGTCTATATTTTTTTGTCATTAATGATCACGAAAAAGAGAATTTCAAAGTTTAATATAATATAATTTATTGTTTAAGTGATAATTTTCTTTGATTATTCATTATTGTCAATGTCACCAACAAGCCATCATTTTATCCTCGATTTTATCAGTTGAAATCTTAACGTTTTGTCTGGTTCTACTCTTTTATTTGCTTTAATTTTTAATATTTATCAACTACTGGCGCCATTCCAAATATTACATTCTTGTTCCAAATGCATTTCTTGGATATTTTTATTTTGCATTGTACCAAAATGCATATTTTATTATTATAACAAAAGAACAATATTAATAGCTACTAAAACAAAATAATTAAAAATACAGACAATGATAGTTTATTACGGGTTTTTACCTTGTCATTCCTTCTTTCGTTACAAAAATGTTACATTTTTATTATTATTTAGATTCGCGTAAATAAATTATATCTTGCACTAGGTATAATATAAAAACCACGAAAAAAATAACTACCCTAGCCTCAATGAATTTGTTGCATTTCCGTTGAATTATTTTCACTCATTCCAAATTTCCAAATGCAGTAATTGGTTAATATTAAGAATTGTAATAAGTTATAACCGTGCATTATGTGTATTAAATTATCATTGAGTTTTTTTTTCACCCGTGAATTCACCGTATTAGTGTCTAATTGCTCGTCCCCCAAACACGGATCTTGAAAACCAGTCCGTCAGCTTTTTTTCATCTATTGAACAATCCACGTCGTTTGTGAAAAGGAAGCTGTTAATCAGAGCGGCTACGAAGAAAATCTCGGTTACTGCTTATGTTTATGGCTCCCTTCTTCAGCTTGCAATACTAATATCAGTGTACACTTTTGACCATCTTTGGAACTTGTTTTCTGATATAAATAATTAATATTATGAGTATTATAATATATTATGTGTCTGTAATGATGATACACATATTACATTATATTATATCGTTTAATATTATTAATTTAGGTATGCGTAAATTGTTCGTTGTTAATTGTATTTTCTGATTCATTTACTATCACGCATTTTTCGTGTGTGAAATATTTGAAAACGACGATAAATGTTGTAAGCTCGCAACGTTATATTACTTCGTTGTCGAAAAAGTTAGTCGTGCTCCATCTGCAAAAAGCGAGGCAAAAAGGTTCTTTATATTAACTGAGAGATGAGACAGATTGAAGTTATTGATTCAATGAAAATAATGGGTAAATTGCGTTTTCATAATAGAATAGTCGATGCGCTATCCGATGGTGTAGCGACATCTGCACTGTCAAATATGAAAATAATATCTGTATTTGTGTGACTCATTTTTTTTATCGGAATCTTTGTTGACAGGTTTCATCGAAAAGACGGATCATTTGTCATTAGGCTTTCCTACAATAGGGAATCGTTAATCGCTTACTTATAGATTTTAGATTCTGAGAGGAGCAATGTTACAATGATGTGTTTTTTTTGTGTGTGTTTGTGTACTTACCACAATAAGTAGTCGAAATAATGCTTCGATTTTAAACTTCAGTATCTTGTTCGATGAGCAAGTTGGTGCATTCGAGGGGAAAAATTTAAAATTTCAAGTATAGTATTCGAAACGGAAAACAAAAAAAAAACTAAGGAAAAACGAGCATTTTTACGTAAAGTCAGTTTTCGACAATATCGATTTAGGTGTCTTGTGTAACTCTAAAACAAATTACCGTAGATACATACAATATTCACTAGATGTTTATATTAGCATTATCTATACACCATAAAATTTTCAAAATACTTTGACTTGTTTTTAGCTGTATTAATACATTTTCAGTTTCAAATTGTTTTAGTTTTTTTTCTATAATTGAAGAAAAGTTTATTTGTTTGTTAAAAAAAGCTTGAACATTTAATACAAGGCACCTAATATATTGTTAGAACGAAATTTGAAAATATATCGTTTTTTTTTTATAAGCATTTAAAGTTCAAATCTTGACAAAATACGTAAAAATCTCGAAGATTAGTATATTATTTTGAGTTAAAAATTTATTAAAATTTTTCTTTTTAATTCTAAGATTTGAAAATGAAATCAAGATTCTTCATAATTTTGTCTACTTTTATAAAAAAAAAATGTCATCAAGAAAGTCAAATTTAATTTTGATGAGCATTTGAAGTTCATATTTTTACAACATTGGATATTCACTCGATTTCTCGGGTACCTAGAGATTTTCTTATTTTCTTATAATTCAAAAATTAATAACTGTAGAATGTATAGATACATGATAATTGCATTGAAAGTTTATATTTTCATTTTCTATTCACCATGCAATTTTGAAAATATTTTAATTCTTTTTGAGCTATTAACGGACAATTTCAAGTTCCAATTTATTTAGTTTTTTTTTTCTATACATATCAATAAAATTTTATTTGTTGGGCCAAAAAGCGTCAAAATGTAATACAAAGCTCCTGATATATTGCTTAACTAGCAATTGAAGAATATTAAAAAAATAAAAATACATATGCACAATTTTTTTTTTATAAACAAGTCCAAATTTCGACAAAATTTATCAAATTGAAAATTGAAAGAACGGGTAAATGGGTGTCGTTCTGTTGTATTGTAAACATGGACTAAAGTAGATCTTAAACGAAGAAGAACGATTTTAATTTTGTATTATATTTAAAAAATATTATTCGTGGGTACCTACTTGAAACTTCTAAAGTATATTATTATATCCAATATGAATAGCCTGACCTATTTTTTCATCTAAATTTATACTTATTCAATTTTTCAAATAGAAAAATAAACCACTATTTTTAAATTGTTATGTAGCTTTTTGGTGTTATTCATAATAAATAATAATTAATAGAAAATATTTATAACATATTGTAAATTAGGTATTGT